CCCCTCCCCCCCCCCCCCCGCTGCAGCTGAGACAGAGACTGTCGCTTTGACTGATGTGGCCACGTGGCCAGTTAGAGTAGACTGCCAAAATGCCCTAGAACCCACCTCAGTAACCACTTCCGTAAAAACAAACAAAACCCAACTGAGCATGAAGAGCCTTAAAAGCACAACACAAGATCCCTGTGACAAACCGCGTGTCCAGATGCCTCCTCCTGGCCCGCTTTCGGGCGGGTGCCAGGGCTCCAGCACTGTCTCCACCAGGTCCTCAGCCACAACCTCCCTGCCTCCTAACCCCGGAGGCAAATAAATGGGTCCACTTTGGTTACAGCCAGCCAGTGAGAAGACCCGGTACCCGCTCAGGCTCCCAGTAATGCTCTGCAGACGCCACACTTGGCAGAGGAAGCAGGAAGAATAACCACACCCAAGCACCACTGCTTACGGCCGGCCTGGACTGAAGCTTTCGGAAGCACTTCGCTTCACTTTCCTCGCTTCTATCAACATAACAAGCAGCAGAGACTTCTTTGTGAGGGGAGTGGAAATTCATTTTACAGTGCGGATGCTAAATCAGCGTGGAAATACTAAAGCAAATGTTGGAAAGCCCAGGGCAGCTGCTGGAAAGGGCGTAACGTGACCACAGGCAAAGACGGCAACTGCAGGCTTCGACCACGCACAGGTGTCTGAGGGCCACAGGAAAGGGTCTCAAAGCCTTGTAAGAAAGGAACCAATGTCATTCTGCCAATGTCAAAACTTTACAGAGTGGATCACCGGGTACTCATTTCCTTTGTTTAAAAAAAGCAACAAGTGCCAGGGGTTTAGCTCAGTGATTCTGGTGCGTGCCTTGGAAACACAAGGTCCTGAGTTCGATCCCCGGTACCAAAAAAACAAAAACAAAACAAAAAAGCAACAAAACCCAAGCAGCAGGACGTACACAACTCCTGCCTCTCCCAGCCGAGTGGCCCTCAGCCCCATGTGCCCTTCAGCGAGACTGGAGTGGAGGGTCTCTCACCTGTCAGCTAGGATGGACAGGACAGGATGACACGCTCCAGAGCAACCTGAAGGTCCAGGGAGCCAACGTTCTGTGACAGCCCAAGTCAGAGCTTCCACAGAGAGGGCGAGGCGGAGGCAGCTGTGGGAAACAGGCCTGTGTGAGCCGCACAGAAAGCAAACTTCTCACCCCATGGAGCTGCCTACAAAGCAGCCTGCTGACCATGTCTGTGGCCCAAATACTGAGCTTGCCACAGACAGCACTGCAAACCCATGCTGAGGGCCAGGGGTGGTGTAGACTCAGCTTGGGAGAGCTACAAAGGACCTGAGCTGACTGGGCCAGACTCACAGAGCAGCCAATGGGCCATGTTTCTAACATAAATGAGGTGGGGAGTAAGGGCTGGGGCTACAGCCAGTGCAAAGTCCCTGGGTTCACCCCCCACTAGTGCAGAATCCAAATCTCTGAGCTAGTGTGTGCTCCTGCTCCACTCCCTGGGCCCACAGCTCGAGTCAAACAGCCCCTTCAGGCCAGGTGCCCTGGCCAGCCCTCCCCTCCCTTGGCCCTCTCAGTTCCCAGGGATCACGGAGAAAGTGGAGCTGTGAAGGGGTTAAGCCACTTGCTCACATAAAGAGCAAGCAAGCAAGCAAGAGCTGTATTTGAACTCCCATGGATGGAGTCCAGAGTCCAGGTGTGCAGCTGAGGCAGGAGCTAATGGGATCCCAAGGAGAGGCCTGAAAGGCAAGAGACAGGCAGCTGAAGCACGAGGGGTGGGCGGAGAAGGCAGTTACCCAGGGGCCTGCTGCAGCCTGGGGGCAGCCCTCTCTGCTCCTGTGTCCACCCAGTGTCTCTTCTAACAAACTGAGCCTGAGCCCAACCCATGTGCGACTCCAGGCGCTCTCCAGTCCCCTAACTATCAGCCACACATGTGACTGCCGTGGCAGGCCAAGCAGGGGTGCCAAGCAGTCCACTGGAACCACTCGCTGAAGCTGCAGACTCCTGGCCTGCAGTCCCGGTGGTTTCTTCCCACCCTAAAGCCCAGGTTGGAGACAGACCTTCCTTGGGGAGGCTCCCAAGCTCAGGGCTTCACCAGTTTCTCAGTGTGACTGCCTTGGGCTCACCACGGATGCAGGGTGTGGAGCTGAACCTGTAACTCTGGCTTCCTTTTCTCCCCTGCCTCCTCTCCCCTCTCCCCTTCTGGCGCCTACGGGTTCTGGGTTTTGTTTAACTTTGTGATATTAACTAGCAGGCATTAAATATAGTAGTTAAAGAAGCCAGAATGTTAGAAAAAACCCATTATGATTTTCCTAAGAATGATAAAGCATCTGGATGTAGCAGCATGCACCTGTGATCCCAGCACTCGGGAGGCTGAGGCAGGAAGCAGCCGGGCAACACAGAGTCTGTGTCAAACAAAAGAGGGGGGTGGGGCTGCTGCTGACCACGTGCCCCACGGAAAATTCTAACCAAGGCACCTGAAAGTGCACTCTGATTTAATGCAAATGTTGGAGATGTTTTGTGTTTTGTGTCCTTAGTCTGTTTATAATAACTGAATGCCACTGAACACTTCCCTGGGTTCCTGAAAATAACCTACACTAAGGGCAGTACAACAGCTTCTGTTCTTCTTTCTGTTCTGTAGCCTGTCCCATTCGGAGGGGCCAGGCTCACTCCGGAAGGCTAATGTAGTGGGCCTCACACAGGGGTCCCAGAGTCAGCTGTGAGGGATGCCCATTACCAGAGGAGCCTGGCACACGTATCATGGGCTTTACCCCGTTACCCCAGTGGGACCTCCAAAATGACAGGGGACGGCTGGAATCCCAGCTGGCTCGATGTCAGATGCACTGAGTTCGTGTTCCCTGAAGTCGGGTTAAGAGTGGGAAAATGTACGGGGAATAGGAACGGCTCCTGGGAGACAGGAGGGGTCCCCAGTGGGTTGCCCCAGCTCATCCCATGTTTAATTTTCCTTTCTTTTGGTTTTGTGGACCTGTAATTCTCAGACTGCACGGTAGGTTAGAGGGGCTTCTGCTTATTTTTTACTGGTTTTCCTGAAAAACTGGATAAGCGGTTATTTAAGTGTCAACAAACTCAGACACAGAAAAGGGGGAGACTCTCCCACGGTGGGGTGGGGCCGTGGACCTGTGGAGCAAAACTCGCTTGGCCCACACACAGCTGCATGAACCAAGTGCTGCATCCTCCACAGCGGGCAAAGCCGCTGCTCTCCCAGGACTACAGTCTCCCGTCTCTCCCTTCCCACCCTCCCCAGACCTCTGTCTGTGCCTCCGGGCTCACCCAGTGGGGCCACATGGGACAAGCTCAAAGGGTGACAGAGCTACGCACTTCAGGCTGGCCTCAAACTCACAGCATCCTCCTGCCTCAGCTCCCTGTGCTGGGATTACAGGCGTGCACCACCACGCCTGGCATTTATTTTTATTAGCAGACATGTTATACTGTAAACATTCTTTGTAGGGAGCTGGCACTTACACATACTTATCTTAATCCCTTTTTGCAGCCCCTTTCCTTCATCCCTCCCTCCCCGCTTGATGAGACACGATCTCATCAGGTCATTAAATTGCCTCCGCTGGACTCAAACTCCTACTTCAGCCTCCCACGGCATAGGAGTTACAGGTGTGAGCCAGCTCGCCTGACTACATCTTCTAGTTTATCAGGACAATTTTTTGGCTTTCTGCTGTTAGGCTTTTGATTACCTAGGACACTGTTTCAGCAGTCACCATTTAAGTGTCCATCTGTGGCAAGATCTCTTAAATGACCATTCTGTGACTGTGTTAAAGCTGAAGTGGAATTCCGGTCACGTAAACAGCACTGTTCTAGGGTGCTATATGTGACACCCCGTGTGCCCTGACTAGTGGTACACACGTCTCAGGCGCAGTGAGGCGGTGTATCTGAGCTTTGTGCCAATGTGCAAAGCTTGTAAAGTTGAAGGTGCACGAGCTAAGGTGTGCGCAGTAACTCGTAAGGGCTCTCTTACACTATGCTCTGGCCCTTGAATATACAAAACGGTCGGTAAAACTGCTGGTGTTTCTGCTGTTTGTATTCGATATCACTGAAAGAAGACACTCTACAGTCATTCACTCCTGCCATTAAAACCTGGCCTGCTTCGATCTGCTTGGACCAAACAAGAATTTTATTATCATACACATGAAATATGAAATACGCTCACATTAAGGTAGTCAATCTCTGGTCATTAGCATCCCCTAAACTTGTGGAGGAGGTCAGTCAGTATCCTTTGATTTCTGTCAGTGCTGCCAACCCATACAGGCTTGTTAAAGGATTCTACATTTTACTTCAAAAGTAGAAGTTCAGCCAGATGTGCAGGCACTTGACCCTGTCTTAAAAAACAAGAAACCAGGCAAAATATACACATACACACATATACATACATACAAACATACCTCTCTCTGACTGTCTGACTTCTCTGTAACCATGGCTGTGATCAGCGTGAGCTTCTCTGAATGTTCAGTGCCTGTCTATTCCCCGAGCCTTCAAAAATGTAAACACTTTCCCACACTGATGTCTCCAGCTGAAGCTGTTAGAGTGACAGCCTCTTCAGGGCGAACTACAGTGGGACCCCAAGCATCTGCAGAGGGCTGAGGAGGGCAGCCTGAGGCACTGGTGTGACACTGCCACGCACAGCGGGTGACGTACGATCCTCACACAGTGAAGGCATGACACAGTTCGCCCCTTGCCAAGCTGTCCGTGCTGCTGTGACAAGCATCTGCAATCAGACACCAGCAAGGCCCTAACAAGCCCTCTCCGAAGCAGCTCAGAACTACGATGCAAATGAGGCCTGGCTCACGTTTCTTCTGTACCACTTGTCAATACTGCAGGGGCACAGCTTCTAGCAGCCACCTACAGGGCAGGACACAGCATCGCCCCGGCCCAGCAGAAGAGCTCCAGGCACACATTACCGTTCTGTGTGTCTCAGGGTCCAGGAGGAGCCGCCCGTCAGGACCAGGCTCACTGCTCCCACCTCAAGAATGGTGGGACTGGTCTTTGAGGTGTTCAACAACCAAGACTTGGAGAACAAAGACAAGAAAGATAAACAGGCTAACAGAGCAGCCATCTGTCCCTTCCCCATGGGCAACCAGAACCCAGGAGCCATGGGGCCTTTCTGAAAGGGACCTGCGACTCCAGGGAGTCATCTGACCTCCCTCTCAGGGACAGAAAGGGCCCTCCTCAAACGGCACAGGGAAAATGTACCAGGTCTTCCAGGAGAAGCCAAGCGGTCAGCGAGATCCTTCCTAGCAGAGGACACAACTGAAGAGGCAAAACATCCCAAAGTGGCTGGGATGTTTTTCACAGAGGAGCCGCAAGTGATCTCAAAAATACATAGACAAAAGTGATTCTGACTGGCAGGAGATGCCTACTGCTCCTCAAGCACCCAGCAGGAAAGTACCCAGAGAACCAAGGTAACAGCAGCAACGAAGGCCAAAAGCAGACAGCTAGACTGGATCTGAAAGGGGCACTAAACACTTTTATCAGCTGTTTTAAGAGCTACTCAAAAGGCATTGGTGGTGGAAAAGCCAGCGGGCTCCCGCGCTCTGCAGCCACACCAGTGGCATTCCAGCCTGCACAGGCAGCTGGCACCTCTGGGTAGAGCTTCCCAGGCCTTCGGTGCCCATGGAAAAGCACAGGCCAGATGGGACTCCTCCCAGGAGAAGGGACAAAAGTGATGCAGGTGAGCCTGCGGCAGGACCAGGCCCGGTCACGGGCAGGGCGAGCCCCGAGCACAGGCACACGATGAGACTCAGTCCTCTCCCTGTTCCCACAGGCCAGAGCTGGGCCCTCAGTGTGACTCCTGCCACACGGTGGGGAGGATCCCACAGGTGGGGCCGCCCAGGAGGGGCCTCGTCCTCCACAGTGCCGACTCCACAACTTCCGGGGTGAACAGCAGGTCGGTGTCGCTTCCCCGCTTCCACCTCCATTCCAGCAGACTTCCTCACATTCTTGTCTCAGCCCAAGTGACCGCCCTGGTGCACTGTCATAGGCCCCTGGGACCCAGCTCAGGTCACACTGCCAGAAAGGCAGACACAGGGCGTGTGTGCATGTGGGTGTCTGCATTCGCCAGGAGCACAGTCCCTTCATCACGTCCTGTGGTGCGCTTCTAAACTGGGGAAAACGTACCTACGAGCTGTGCACGCCTGTGAGCCAGGACCAAGCTTCACCTTGTTCTACTGTGGGCTTGCATTTGTTTTTGAGATGTGGTCTCCCTATGTAATTCAAGCTGGCCTTGAACTCAGTGATCCTCCTGTCTCAGCCTCCTGGGATTAAAAATGTGTGCCACCAGCCGGAGATTTGGTTCAGTGGTTCCACCACCTGCCTCGCAAGCATAAGGGCCTGAGTTCGATCCCTGGTACCAAAAACAAACAAAACAAAAAATGTGCCTCACCACTGAGTTAATATTGAGGAACCAGGTTTTCCCTGTCTTTTCCAAACTTGGTGTGGGATAAAAGCCACACAAATAATCGTGACTTGGGCACTTAAAAGTCATTCTTGGGCCAGGGATTTATCTCAGTGGTGCTGCTGCCTACCTCGCAAGCAAAAGGACCCAAATAAATAAGTCATTCTTTGTATATATTTGATTCTGTTGTAAAATGTATTTCACCGTCTCATCAGTTTGTGGGTGTGCAAATGTTAACACATCTTTCACCTTAACTACAACTGTAAATATCTGCTTTGAAAAAGTTACTGTTTTATGCTAAAAGCCAGTTTTCTTCACAGTTTATAGTTTTTAAGTCACTTGTTTCAAATTTCTCTCTACTACAACCAGTTTAGCATTAAGGAGTATTTTAAGAACATGTAGGGCCGGGGATTTAGCTCAGTGGCTCTGCCACCTGCCTTGCAAGCGCAAGGTCCTGAGTTCTATCCCTGGTACAAAAAAAAAAAAAAAAAATGAATGTGATACTTGACCACATATAGCATTTCTTAAGATTGAGCAGTACTTTTAATAGTTGGCATGTAATACAAGTGTAATGAACCCACCTCAGATCTAAAAGATTGCTCCCTTTATTTTTGTCTTTTGGCCATTAGCTGGGGAAGTTTTCTATATATTAATACATAGCGTTACACATTTACCAGGGATCAAACTCAGGTCCTTGCGCTTGCAAGGCAGGTGGTAGAACCACTGAGCTAAATCCCTGGTCCCAATTATGTCTATTTTAACATTAACTTCTAAAGAAAATTTTTCTAAGACAATTTGCTTCGAGTCCGCCAAAGATAAATAATAAAATTATGTATATACAGTGTATGCTTTTTCCGTCACAGAATTTTTAAATTAGTGGGTTTTGTTTCCCAGTACCAGGAATCGAACTCAGGACCTTGTGCTTGTGAGGCAGGTTCAGTGCCTCACATTGAGCTACACCCTGGACCTGCTGTTTTCAGACTGTATTTTGCACGTTTACATGATCACTGCTGCCTGCTTTATGAACTGGCCTTCTCAATGCTTCATGATTTTTAAAAGGTGTTTTACCTGTCTCAGGAAAATAATGTTACTGCAAATTTTTACTCCTTATTCGAATACTATAGTTATAGCAGCAATTTGTTAAATTGTTATATTTAAAACAAATGTGGATATAATATTGGTTCTTCACCTATAAATTTTATAACAAATTTACTACCAATTAATGCTTAACCAATATTAAAAAAGAAATTAAATATAGTTGGTACAAATATAGTTGGTACAGTAGATGATAATGTGGTCCCTCAGCACGTTAACAGCTTGGATAAAAAAGAAACAAATGGCCAGGCATTGTGGTGCACGCCTGTAATCCCAGCACTTGGGAGGCTGAGGCAGGAGAATAGCTGAGTTCGAG